TGCTTGTTCAATTTTCGGAGTTTTCATGGGTCACCCTATATGACCGAATTGAGGTATGCAGGCAAAATGATAGTTATATTTTGGTATGCATATTCCAATTTTGCTCACCAAATGTACGGAAAAGCAAAGCCGAAGTTCTTAAGACCAACCTGATACTTATCAATGAGTTTTAATGCTATAAACCCCAGATATTGCGGCCAATGGCGAGAATTAATTTATTATCGCAAAAAATTACGAAACTCTTTGATTAGGGTTGAACACTTAAATTCAACTTACAGGTTCTGTCAACCTACTGATTGCAAAGCAACTCATCGTTTATTTACGCTTCAACCTTTTTTTTAAAACCACTAAAATTCAGGAGCGATGTGTTTTCATCCTCGAGCAAATAAGAGTCCGACACTCAATCAAGTCCAGACGTGCTTAAGTAATTTAAAACTACGTTTGTAAGCAGTATACATACCACTCGGAGGGGTGGTTTACAAATTCCTCTTTTTGCCAGGAATCCATGTTAAACCGCAGGTTAAACAGAATTTACTGTCATGCAGCCTTCAGTCTATGCACATATATTTTTCGAAAACTAAGGCGGATTAACACGATACACAATGAACTTCATTTCGGGTTACAGGACTTGATTGCCCCGTTTTGCCTTGGGACTTAATACGACGTCCTAACTGTATTCATTGACGCCAGGCTGGCATCCCTGGTGTTCCAAATCTGGGTTTGATAATAGCTGGCTCGCGATGGGTAGTTATAGCCAGAAATGTCCATTTCAGTCTCTGGTGTCATTGCCGATAACCTACAGTGCATAGCCGATCACACGAAATGTTGGCCAAAATTCTCGAATGCGTTTCCGATTGGGAAGGATTACTTAAGTGGGGTTGTTAAACTGATTGTCATGCAGCATAACCCTATAACATTTCCGACTCGCCGGGGTGCTAGCTTTTGCATGTGCTGTTTTATAATCTCCTGTTGAGACTGAACTCGGTAAAAAATGACTAATTAAGTAGCATGCATCTTGCCCATTGATTTTCGATGGTCTTACAAATTCAAATATATTGTACAGAAAACACCCAAAAATATGCCTTTTGCTCATTTGGAAGGAAATCACATTGCATTAATATTTTATGCCTGAAAAAGTGTATTTTTAGGCATCCTGACGAGTCAGAAATGTTATAGCGTTATGCTGCATGACAATCAGTATAACAACCCCACTTAAGTAATCCTTCCCAATCGGAAACGCATTTCAGAATTTTGGCCAACATTTCATGAGATCGGTCACGCACTGTACATACGCATATATTCGCGGCCGCCATACTACTGACTGCGAGGATCCCCAGGGCACAACGGTACGAGCAGGTCTCGAAACCCGATCGATAAGCGCCCTTACCACTATAATTAATATTTCGGATTGCAACTGACTGCACGACGGGTGCATGGATCAGTTTAGAGCTTTAGACTCAGTGACCAAAGATGCCGGGTGCGAATCCCTGGTGTTTTGAAGCCTTCGAAATGGGTATGGCTTGCTGATGACAGCCAGCAGTAACCATGCAGTCTCTCTTGTCTTTGCCGATAACCTCATTATGCGAAGGAGCTTTTTGAAATGAGGACAGTTTTGTAGGGGTTTACTCGACAAACTTGAGATACAGACTTGGACATAATAGGGACGAGTGAGGGTCTAGAATTATTAGTGTTTTGCATTTTCCGGTGGCGGTTGGGTGACTGCTCCAAAGCCAATTTATGTCCTTTAACTCTCTGCACTTGCTTTAGTTTTTGCTGTGTTGTTTTTCGTGTTGTTTTAGTTCTTGTGAAGAAATTTCTCCAGTCAATGCATATCAGACTTGGGGGTTAGTTCCAAAACGATTGGCTGCTAAGATAGATGTGGTCAGACAATAGAAGCGAAGAGGCGAGTTCCAGGAAATAGTCGCGAACAAGGAGACACGATCCCCGGAACAAGGCTAATTAAGCTCTTGTTTCAGCGATTGTGTCATTTTCTTGCTCAGACAAATTGTCAGAGAAGGTTCAATAGGGTTTGGCAGACACCCAACAGAGGTACTGGGTAGAAACCGAGGCACATGTATTGCAGATTGCTCTACAGTGGACGGGTTGGCCAGTAAGCGGGTGGCCTCGCCATCTCCGTATGCTTTGTTGTAACACATCTGTTGAGAATAAAGAAGGCGCAGGAATATTAGATGATAAAATCAACACAAAAATGTCAAAAGTGAACCAGCATAACAAGAAGTATAGCTTGCGTCTCCTGTTGCAGTGCCCGCAGTGGTTAACTACAGTTCTGAGTATAAAAAACGTTTACTGCGATTATTACAGCGCACACATCCACATTATTAATCCGTTCCTAAAATACGGGTTGTTTATTAGACGCTTTCCCAACCACATATTGAAATTACACGCAGAACACCATCAGTACCCCAGTAGAGTTTACGTGGTTCCTATATTTATGCGCATGTTTACACCGAGTCTTTGCTTCCAGTAGGCATTCGTAAAAGTTTTATTTCCCAGACCCCCTCAGTATGGCCTTGACGCTGGATGCTCATTGGTTACATTTCGTTATTTAATAGTCGCACGCCGAACACGAGAATAGCTGTTCCCTGTGTTGCATATGACTCCGCGTCAACTTCCAGGGGAGAACCTACAATGAGTGACTGATCTCGTAAAATGTTGGCCGAAATTCTGAAATGCGTTTTCGATTAGGAAAGATTATTTGGTCGTGGTTGTAACACCCATTATCGTGTGGCATGATCCTATATTATTTCGGACTCGGCAGGATGTAAGCTTTTGAACGCAGCGCCTTTCAATTTTCTCTGGAAACCATACTTGGTAAAAAATGACTGCTTATGTAGCATGCATTTTTCCCATTGATTTTTGATGGTCTTGCAAATTCAAATATATTTCATAAAAACCACGAACAAAATATGCTTTCTTGCAGCCTGTTGATAGATAATTATGTCTTCTTCATATTTTATATTCGAAGAAGGAGTATAACGAGGTTTTGAAAAGGTTTTCTAATTCGCAAATAATTTGTAGCCTAATCAGCAGTTGCATTAACGCCTTGTGATTTCAGTCTACAAGGTGCATGAGTTCCGCGTAAGGGAAATCTCATATTCTTCCATACCTTTAAAAAGATAGCATATTATATCCATAAAATTTTGCAATGGATGTGGACCATGTTGTACATTTCATGAGGAACAGTGATAAAAGGACACGTACGATGCTATATGAGTTGACATTGCGTGGTCTCAAAAAATCGCATAATGAGAAACTTTCTTAAAACCTCATTATACTCCTTCTTCAAGTATAAAATATAAAGAAGACGTGATTCTCTATCAAACGGCAGCAAGAAAGCTTATTTTGGTTCGTAGTTTCTATGAAATATATTTGAATTCGCAAGACCATCGGAAATCAATGGCAAAAATGCATGCTACATAAGTAGTCATTTCTTACCGAGTATGGTTTCTATGGAAAATTGAAAAACCGTGCATTCAAAAGCTTACATCCTGCCGAGTCCGAAATAATATAGAATTATGTCGCACGATGATAGGTATTACAACCCCGTCTAAGTAATCTTTCCTAATCAAAAACGCATTTCAGAATTTCAGGCAGCGTTTCATGAGGACGGTCACTCATTGTACTTAAGCGTCTCTCCATAACCCTAAATCTAACCCTAAACCCAACCCTAA